GTTCAGGTAGTTGGCCGATATAAAATAGGTTATCTTCTTTTCCGTACCTGACAAGGATAGGTTATAGTTCTGCTGCGGTGCTATACGAAATACTTCATTCTGCCAATCTGTATTGACGAGGCCTTTCTGCCGCTCCAGGTAAGGAAAGATAAAAGGCGGAATGCTGTACTTATTATCATTGCGCAGGTTATTAGGGTCAGTTGCACTATTGGTCTGGGGGTTATGATCGATCCATGAATTGTTGCGCGCGGCAGCAATGAGCGAAGCTATTTCATAAGCATCCATCATCTTTATCTTATGTGATACGGCCTGCATGCCGGTATAGGTTTCAAAGTTGAACACCGGTTTGCCGGAGGATCCTTTTTTGGTGGTGATGAGGATGACGCCATTAGAACCGCGCGACCCGTAGATCGCTGCTGCTGCCGCATCTTTCAGCACTTCAACAGAAGCTATATCCGAGTGGTTCAGGCTGCTGGTATTGTTATCAGACAATGGCAATCCATCCAGTACAATCAGGGGTTTGGTACCTGCGGTGATAGTACTGATACCACGAATGCGAATCTGCACATCTCCTCCCGGTGAGCCGGAGTTTTGTACAACTTCCACACCAGCCATCTGACCAACCAGGCCCTGCTCGAAACTGGTGATTGGCATATGCTCCAGCTTGTCTGCTGTGATCCGCGAAATAGATCCGGATACTTTATCACTTAACTGGGAGCCATAACCAATGACCACCACTTCCTCCAGACCGGCGCCGGGAACCAACGAAACAGCCAGTCCCTCCTGCATGTTGATCAGTACCGTTTGATCGGTATAACCGGTAGCAGCAACCGTGAGCAGGTTGTATTGCTGCGGCACGTTTATTGTAAATGCACCATTCATATCAGTAACCGTACCAACAGGTGTGTCCTTAATATACACGGTGGCATTGACAACGGGCAGCTTATCTTTCGCACTGTTTACGAATCCGGAGACTTTAAGGGTTCCCGTGGCACCGGTTACATCATTCAGCGAAACGGCAATGTTCTTATTGATCTTCTTAAAGGATAAACTGCTCTGCCGCGACAGCTCGTTCAGCACCTTTTCAATCGACGCGTCCGTCACCCGGATGCTGATTTTCTTTGCATAGCTTTTTACCTTTTCTTCATAAAGAAAATTATAGTCCGACTGGCGTTCGATGGCGGTAAATACTTCTGGAACTGTTGCATTTATGAGGTTCAGCGTAATGCCTGGCTGCGGTGCCTGTGCACTTAGCAACGAGGGTAGCAAAAGGAGCATGCCCAATAACAGGCGGAATAAATGATGCTTAAAAATTGTCATGGAATTACTTATAAAATGGGCCATCTCAG